TTTAAAGGTATAAATTTAATATATTTTAACTTTTAGAGCATGATCGAAGTGGGATTAAGAATAATGGATTAATAAAGAAGAGTAGGTATACGAGAATAAAAATGTAAGAGACTTCACATTGTATTCAAATTAAATATTTTAATTATTTTACATTAGGGTGTAAAACAAGTATTTTTTAGAATTCGCTTAAGTATTGTACATTTTTGAGAAAATTGTTGAATAAAATTTTAAATACGCGATTTTGATTTAATTTCTTGAAATTCTTTGTTCGAACAATTAATGAATCTGTTTTAAAATGTTTTGATGAAAATCCGTTACATATTTTATTTTTTTATTTTCTTTAAAATTTTCTTCTAAAGACATTGAATACATCTCAAAATATAAAATGACAATTTCATTTTTAAACTACTAATTTATATAACTAGATATGAATTAATATTAAGCATTAATGATATATAAATTGCATAATATAAATAAAGTGAAGTAACTTTTAAAATCTTTTCACTGAATGAATCCTATAGAAATTTTTTTTCTTCCAATGTTTATAGATCTAAAACTTTAAAATATTTCTTGCTTTCTTCTAAAATTTCTTAATACATGAAATTAGTTCCTATTCAAAATTTAAAGTAACTAGGTTTACATAGTTTTTTTTGATTTTGTGGAAGCATGTAAATGAATTTTTCTTATATTTAGTGTCAGTTGAGTTAGAATATACATGTAAAATTGTTTCTACAATATTATAACAAGAAAAAAAATTAGCTAAATACAATATTTTGGCAAAAAATGAAGAAAGAATGACATCTTAAAAACATTCTTCTTTTAAGAAAAATGCTTCTATAATATTTTCTCTCTCTCTTTCTCTCTCTATGTATATATATAGCTAAAACATCTCTTAAGAGCCCGAACAAGGATTTTTGAAAGGTATAATTTAGAAGTGTATTTATTTTTCTTTCTTTTTTTTCAAAGTAGAGAAATTTTAACGAAAAAAAAACCGTTTTTATTTCAATTAATCTTAACTTTGAAACTTGTGAATTTTTCAAAACTCCTGGTTCAGCCTTTGTATAGGAGTCCCATCTACATACAAACAAAATATTATCCTTAAAGAAGCATTTTTCACAAAAAAAAAACAAAAAGAATTGTTTCAAAATATCTTTTTTTCTTCCTTTTTTGCCCAAAAATTGCATTTAAATAATTTTTTCTTGCAACAATATTCTCAAATCAATTTTGTATGTAAATTAAAATTCAACTGACCTTAAATATCAAAAAATTATTCCTTCATACGTTTTTTTCAAAATCATGGTTTCAACCGTAATCAGTCACCTTATAAAAGAAATTAAAGCAAAAAAGAAAAATATTTGCCTAAATAAGTAAAAAAACCACCCGTCTTGTACTATGTAAACCCTCCTTATACACGAGCATGCAATTTGTTTCTTTTTGAAAGACATGTTATTATTTTAACGGTAATTAAATTGTAAAACATAAATGTTTACTCATTACAGTTCAGGGACATGTCATCGCATATGTTGTCGAAGTAATTAATTAAACTGAACTATTGAGCGTGATTAATTTAACAAACAACAATTATTAGGTTTTGAGAGTCTGTGATAAATGGTCAAGATGAAATGTTCATTTAACTCTTCCAATCCACTTGTTGATGTTAATTATGTTTGTTAATGAGTGCTAATGTTTGTCTATAATTATGCTGTTTAATTTTTTGTGTAATTTGATTATTAAACTTCCTGCTAATCCCTATGTCCATTTTCTTCAGTGTTATACTCTGAATGTCGTATGCTCTGAGGAAATAACTTAATTACTGTATCTTTCGATGAAGTTTTATTTATATGCTTATGGTATTTTTTTTTCTTTCAGGGTTCTCGAATAGTGAGAAGCTTTTGATTTCAACAGATCAAAATATTAAAGGATCTCAGGTAAGTCATTTATTTTTACCTAATATGCTAACCGAAATATTTTGATTTTTCTAATGTTTTCTTTTCTTGGAGTGAAGGGGTATGGGTATCTGTAAATCCAAGTGATTACGATAGTCATGTATGTTGTACAGTATATCCTAAAGGATACATATAAGCATTGAAACTATTTTATATATTGCGGCAAACAAAAATAAAATGCTTTTAAAATGATTATTGTCAATGCAATTCCATTTCTTTTTTTATTATCATAGATTAACTCGGACTTTTTCCTGAACTAGAAAAACGGAGTAGTAGTGCATCCTGCTTCCACGCCTCAGTTCCAGGGATCAAAACCTGGACTGGGCTAGGTCGACTCAGCCATTTATCCCTTCAATGGGTCAATAAATGAGTATTAAATTTGCTTGGGAACTAAACACTGGGGATTTCTAGGCAGGTGGATCACCTGACCAGAACATCTGCTCATATACCTCATTGCTCAAGAATATACAAAGTGAGATCGGCGCAGTAGGCCATGGGTTGTTGTGCCACTGAATTTAGTTTAGAAAAACGGGTGTAAATTATACATTATTCGAGACTGCGTTTCTATAATACACGTATCCATTGTACTTTACCCGCATCTATAAGCAGAAAAAAGTGCTAAAATTTATGTTGTGAAACATATGGACCAAGTTGTCTGAGCGTAACTGTCACTCGTGAAAATATCACGTGGTCTATCTAGACGAAAACCATATGTAAGGGATTCAGTCTTAGTCTTGATCTTGGCTTCGGCGTAACTAGGTGTGGTTGTTTACTATAGGATTTTTCTCTCTAATATTTCAGTCTAATATTTGAACTTGATGATTTAATTTTTTCAAAGCTTATTAAGTTTGTGTTATCAATAAATCCAGTAAAAGACATTTATGGATTCCAGAATTAGTTGAATAACACCACACACACACATCAACATTTTTTATTATATATACATATTTGCAAATCTTGTAATGTTGCTAAATGCAAATTTTGCTTTACATCCATCTACAAGTCGATAATCTCTCACAATACACTGATTAAAGAATATACTTTCTATAAAATACATAAAAAATACAGGCAGTGTTACTCATATTTTTATCCATTGCTTGTATATTGTATTTTTGTCTCTCCCCCTCCCCCTTGATTTAATATACTAAAGAAGTCTGTACATACCTTTTAGTTGGGCGAAGAAAAGTGAAAATATTGAAAAGAACATGCATAAAACTCTCATAACAAATTCAGACAAATGCTCTTCCTTTAAAAAAAATTGATCAGAAATGCCGCACGCACCTTTACATACTAAAGTCCAATGAATGAAAGTTAATACTCCCATACAGAAATTTAAACTATTCCTCAAAAACCATTTCTCCCGTAACCAGTCTCCTTTAAAATGTAAAACACTTCCCTTACACACATGTGAGGCAGAATCGATTAACTCGATAGTAAATGGAATATGAAATGTGACATTTCGAATAAATAGCAAGATCGAAAAAGCCTTTCCGTGCTCGCCATTTTTCCAGTAATTTCCTTTTTTTCATATTTTCTGCCTCCGTATACACGCAACCCTGTGATTGTGGTCTACGAATACATTACCCTGGATGTCACAAACAGTCCGTTGCTTATTTATTTACGCTTAAAAGCCATTACGCCGCCACAACATTGAGACATGTGTCATTTTTGTTCGTGTGTGCCATTTGCGTAACTAACGACACACCGTAGTGCCATTTGTACGTTCTGTTCCGAAAAGAGAATTTTTGGTGGGGTCACGGGTGTTTAGTGTTCATTTAATTTGGGATGGGCTCTTGTGGGTGTTGTTAGGTATGCGCGTCTGGAAAAAACTCATTTGAGTGTCTAGGTTTGCTTTTTTTTTTTCCGCTACGCCCGAGGGTATTGTCTGCAACAAGCGATGTGTGGTTTACGCTAAAAGCTGAAATGTAGAGCTGTTAAATAAGTTATTTGCCGATTTCGCAAATTGAGCTAAAATTCGTTTAAATTATTCAAATACTCAATAGATTTACGCACAGACCACTTTAACCATGAGTTAAAATTGTGTGATTTGCCACTAATAACCCTCATGCTAATGCCACGCAAAATTGACTTTAATATTTATATTATCCACATGGAGATGATTATTGATCGTATACAGCGTATGACTAAAATAACCCCAAATTGGCCGCATATTTAACTGTATACGTGCAGTAATTAGTTTCATTTGCTGTATTTCCTAATATTAAAGTTTTAATACTTAACAGTGTGTGTATTAATAATAATAATCATTATTATAACCCTAATCTTAAAGTTTACTCCTATACAGGGTCAGTACAAATGATGGACTTTATATTAAAAAATCATATTATCGAGACTAAGGCACATATTACAATAAGTGATGCAGGAATGTAAAGAGAAATGTACTAAGTTTTTTTTTTTCTATTCCAACTACTAGTTCACTCTCTCCCTATATATATGACCTGTTTTGAGCCAGAATCAGACTTAGTTTTTAAAAAGGTCTTTATTCTAGAATTAGTGCATCTCTTCTGACGCTAAGAGCAGGGAGGAAAAAAACACGCCACGGTGTGTTTTAAGTGGGTTAGCGCTTAAAACACCGATGGGGTAAGTATCGCGGATTTTATGATTGTACTTGAAAGTTAATGCTGGCATATAGGGCTATTAAATATAACGATCTGGAATTAGACGTGTTTATTGGCTAGGCTATGTTCGGAAGAAATAAATGGGTGATTAGTTTGATACTTGAAGATGAAATGAAAAATATGAGTTAAGTGCTAGATAGGGAATTTAATTTTTAATCTAATTTAATTATCCTTACATATATATAGGGAGAGAGTGTATATATGTATCTTGTTCAAATTTTCAATCGTTAATAAAATACTTTCTATTCATCCATTCATGTTCAAACACATTTTTTTAAACTTGTAGTGAATAACCCTGGATGTTAATACAGTTTTTTCAGATATTGATTCATGAATTAAATTAAAAAATGAATAAATAGTAACAAACAAAACTAACAGTCTAACAGCATGTATAAAAAGGAAAATCGTTCATTTTGTCCCTGTAACGCAAAGGATAGCGCGTTGGACTTCTAATCTAAAAGGTGAGGGTTCGAATCCCTCCTGGGATGACCTAGTTTCTGAGAACGTGATTTTTTTTTAACTGTACTATTTTATTAGAATAATTAAATTTAATTAATGAATAAATAATAAAAACAAAACAAAAAGAAATAGTCCAACACCCTATATAGAAAGGAAAATGGAAAATTACAAGTAAAATCGCTTTTTTATTTTGTCACTTAATAGTGTGATTATGTCCTATGTATATACATATTTATATTAATTGTAACTATTTAATATAAAGTAACTAAAATAAAAATTTTCTAGGTTGACCTAAGTAGGAATTGGCTTAATTTTTTTTTTTATATATATATTTTTCGTTTCTGTTACTATTGTCCGATGTTTGACCCTCTTGTTACACAGCAAACTTCCATTCTATAATCAAGTTCATTCCATACATTCTATAGCATTACTCTATCAATGGTTCGTAATGGTGCTCAAAAGCTTGCCTGTAGTCCTTACTCTGGTGTCTGTTTTGTCAATTGCAAATGATGCAGCTTGAAATTTAATTCTTTTTCGTAAAATTTTCCATGCCGTTTTCTGGGATGTTCCAAATTTACAGGCGGAACCTCTCGTAGACTTCCGTGGACTTTGAACAAATTTCTGCCTCACCCTCTCCACTGCTTCTTCCGAAAAGCTTGACTGGCCGCTAATTTTCTTTTCACACAAGCAACCTCTTTTTCTTAAATTGGTGATATCATCGCAAAATACTCTTGTTGGTTGGTGAATCTTTTCCGTAGCGATTTCTAAACGCACGTTACACCGAAATAACTAGGAAAAAACCCATGCTTACTCCGATACATAAAAACTTTGTCATTGTACTATGTATAGATTTTAATCACGGCAATCTTGAATGTGCTGTTGATCATTGGTGGGGGAAAAAAACTTGATAGATTTTTCTTTATATTCTGGTACCGCTTATTGTAATTATAATGTAGTAGTGTCAAAAATATCACACACACATTCTTAACATCGTAACTATCATTTGTACTTTCCCTGTATTAATGTAGCTATTCTACTTTGTCCTGTTTTGCAATGCTACTTTCGTACTTACAGTCTAGCGTTAAATTTGAATTATAATAATTTAGTGTTTTATTAATAATTATATATGCACAGTTTGTCATTTATATGCTTTAATTACATATTAAGACAAGTTAACTGAGAGAAAAAATATTAAAAACTGTAGCGCAACTGATGTTTGACTGCAACTTTGGCTTTCTTAATGTGTTGCTACACGGTTTTACGGCATCCAAATACCCTAAAATCGTCAATTTTGTCAAAAATTGACAAGTTTTGTTTTATTTTATTTCATAGGCCATCTTATTAGCTTTATAAAAATACCAAGTATTTTTTTATTGTCCATACATTAGAACAAAAACTACACGTGTTTTAGTGAAAACAAATACCACAGCTTCAAGCAAGATGTCGAACTTTGAAATGCGATTTACTCGAAATGTGTTTTTTAGAAGATGCTCAAAAACCGGGACAGCGATTCCTCAAAAAGTTTTGAAAAGGATTGTTTCAAATTTTTTGTGCGTGTTCTGTATAATAGAAGTGTTTTAACCTTCAGATTTATCAGTCACTGTTTTATTACAAAATTGAGCGTCCCTTATGTGAATGGGGTTTTTTTCCAACCAATTTGATATAATAACTGGGATAAAGTGCTCTAGTTTCTGTAAAAATTAAATTATCTCTTATCCTGAAGGTCATTTCAAAAATGAATAATAAAATAACTCATCAAAATTGAAGAATTTAGAATTTGTTCATAAACTATTTGTACAAAATGGGTCTTGTTTATGTAATTTTTTGCCAATTTTTTCCCATTTTAGTAATAACTTTTTTCTCATCTTAATTTTAAAATTGTTTTCTTAAAATGTACTAAATAAATCTAAAAACTACAAAAAAAAATCTCTAACTCTATTTTTAAAAAAAAAAGTTGTCATAAGTAGTCTGATTCCTTAATGTATGTTACGCAACTTGAACAGTCTGTGAAATATAATCTTTAAAATCCTTGAGCTACTCTTGTTCGGTTTAATTTATTTTATTTAATAATTAATGTAAACAAACACTTTTTTTTATCAAATGAGAATTAAAAGACTGTAAATATTTTCTTTTGATATTTAAAACGTTTAACTTTTATAATTTACGTATTCGCTGATGTGGAAAAGAGAAATTAAATTCAAATTAAATCGGATTACTTTCGGGAGATTAGCTCATTTCTATGTTACTTCCTTCGTAACTGGATTCCCTCCGTAATTACAGTTTTCATTAATTAAAGTCGATAACGGGATGATTCTAGCCGCTTTAACATTAGTATATTTCCGATCTTCAAAGGAAAAATTAATACGAAAGTCATTCAACCGGGAATTTTAAAAGTGTTTTGATAATTCTTAAATCCTTTTAAGGTTAATTTGCTTCAAATGTAATTACTTAAGCGCTTTGAAATGATGTGTAACGAATCAAACAGTTTCAAATTGCTTGTAGATTTACTCCTGAGATAATGTTACATAAAGACGTTTTTTGATCTATAACAGAGGCGAGAGGAGCCTTTCTATCATAAGAGGCTGCATGTAAACTAAGTAATAATAAAGAAGGCTGCATAGGTTGATGTACCTATAAATGCCACTATGAAATTATTAACAGTTTTTTCTATAGATTTAACACTTTTGTGCATTATATGGAAATATTATTAAAAAAATTAAGTCCTTATTCATTTTTTGACAGAGAAAATTACAATACAAGAAATTTTTATATTCACATATAGGTAAAAATTTGCTTTTACATTCATCATTGATTATTGTTTTTCTATAAATGTATGAAATTCATAGATATTGTTGTAAATTTCTATATGTCACAGTTGGTATTTTTATTTAAGCATTTATATACACCCATAAATATATTTGTATTAAAATTCATAACGTGAAACTTTAATTGTTTCTCTACATAAACATGTGTGGTAGTGTTGCCATGTTGTACTAGGTAGCCTTCTAACTATTGAAATGTACAATTGGCTATTCCCATGAGTTATCATTGAAACATACATTCATACCATTCTTTATTAAACTCCATTGATGTACAAACTGTAGCGATCTATATCAGATATTAATTAATAGAAGTGCTATCTTTTTAGAAGGCCGCTTAAAAAAACTCACGGAGGCCTCTGATTTATACCTTTTAATTTGGATATAAGCACAAACTTAGATTGGTGATTGAATACATTATCATGAAAAAACACGATTAGTGATAAAATGTTTGAAGAATGTTAAAAGGTACATATATCTATAATTAGTTCATATATTAGAGATGTAAAATTTATATCAGTGGCAGGCTATTAAATGTTTTAAAATTCTAAGATTAATATCATTACAGGCAAAATGCATGGTTTCATTCGTTGTTTTAGGAAACGTACCATGCTAAAACTGTTAAGGTAACTGATTACGTTTGGGTGGGTGGGTGAGTGAGTGAGTGAATATTAACGTCGCACTGTTCAGCTACACGGGGGCGTTTGGTGACGGACCTCGTGATATTGAACCATGGTCAAGTGACGAGGGCGACACCTGAGCTGGCACCCTCTCTCCTAACTACCACACCACACCAACGGGAAGACGTTTCAGCTCTCGACAGATTTAACATGCATCGCTCCCCTACACGGTGGTTCTTTGAGTGGTACTGGGCTCGAACTCATGACATGTCTGCCATGATCCGATACCTTGACCACTGGACTACCGTAGCCCCTCTGACTACATTTGGAACCGTGATTTTGAAGAAGCATATAAATGAATATTTTTTTTATTAATTGTCAATTGTGAATTAGACGATATATGTAATAATGCTCTTAAAGTCATTTTACACAAAAAAAATTATTCGAATGCAATTCTTTAACAATAAAATAAAGAAATATTTTCAAAACATTCTTCTTTTATGGAAAATGATTCTATTGTAAAAATATTTGACCTATATATACACCTAAGACTTCTATACAGACCCTGTACTAGGAATTTTGAAATATGTAATTTAGAAGTGCAATTATCTATATTTTATTATATAAAAGCAAAGAACTTTTAACAAAAACACCGGTTATTATTTCAATTGGTAGTAACTCTGGAAATAATGTCAATTTTTCAAAATTCATAGTTTAAGCTGTTTAGAGAAATCCTAGCGGTATATAGGCAAAATACAGTTGAACCTCTACACTCTACATAACGAACCTCTATATTCCCAATTTTTCTATACTGCGAACTTTTTCCTGGAACCTTGATCATTTCACTATTTTAACCTCCCTATAGCGAAGTGCATTTTCTATATAACGAACTTCTTCTTTTGTGATTCAATTTTTGTTCTCCATTTTTGTAAAGTATTTCTGAAAAAAAATTTAAGTTTTTCTCTCTTTAACGTGTTTTATGATGGTCATAAATCTTGAACTGGCTTTATTAGATCCTAACTCGCAGAGAGCAATATAGCTCTGGACGTTTCATCCAAGAAGTGCAACCCTTAACCCCCACTGCCCAGTTCACTAGAAACATTTTCGATATCCTCTTTCATCCTGAGTGGAGTTGTCCCGTGTCCTAATTATAAAATAATGTATGTTTAATACTACTTGTACGCCTTAAATTATAAAATGTCCTTAAAATTCATTAATTTTAGTATAAAATTATTTTCTTAATATTGAAAATATGGGGTGAATAAATATGAAAATATGGTTCGAGACATGGACAAGGTTTCACATGTATAAGAATACCGATCTTAAAAGACTTGTATACTATAGAGCCTTTATTTTTCCTTTGATTACATTCGATTTCATATATTTTCATATTCCATTAAGACATCTATTCGCCATAGTAATTCTCTTTTGGATTTCAGTAGTACAATCGTTCTATTTTTAATTTCTGAACCTCAATAAGTGAAACTGTCAACAACTTCAAAATTATACATATTATTTATCTCATAATGCTTAATCAGGAAGCTGTGGAAAATGAGTTCATTCAAGAATGTTTTAACAGTTAAATACCTC